AGTCTATTGATATATTTTCGTTCAATTTCAAATCATAACATAGTGTCGTATTACTGCTGATTGCATACATAAATATAGATTATATTGATATATCTATATCATTGAAATATTGAGAGAGAGAAAGTAAGATAGGAAAGAAAGGAGAGAGAGAGGGATGGACAGAAAGAGGGACAGAGGGAAAAAGAGAGGGAGAGGGAGAGAGAGAGAGAGGGAGAGGGAAAGAGAGAGAGAGAGAGGGAGGGAGAGAGAGAGAGGGAGAGAGAGAGAGGGAGAGAGAGAGAGAGAGAGAGAGAGAGAGGAGGAGAGAGAGAGAGAGAGAGAGAGAGAGAGAGAGAGAGAGAGAGAGAGAGAGAGAGAGAGAGAGAGAGAGAGAGACTAAGAAAAAAAATATTCGACATTCCCACCTCCCCCCCACCCCACCCCACCAAAAAAAAAGCATTAAAGAGCTTCGACATTCGCAACCTACCTCCCCTTCACCCCTTACCTCCACCCCCTCCCTCCTACCCACGCCCCCACCCGGACGCTTCTAGGCATGATGCAACCTCCCTCTCTCCGCCCACTCCCTCGCCCCACGTGGGAGTCCTCTCAAGGTGTTACGTTTCAGCCTATTTCCTAACAGCTCCTCAGCCTTTCTAAATATATATGCCCCATCCGCATAGCGAGATAGTTGGCCCTAAAACTGTCAGCAAGACAAAACCGTGAGGTAAACAAAAAGCGTGTGGGAAGAGGTATTTTAAGTGACCATAATGCTTGGTGTTTCAAGTTGCACAAGGAATGGGTATACTTCGCCTATCTATAATTCGGAGGATGATGAAGCGAGACCACACTCGGGGCGAATCTTGCAATGGGATGTGTTGTTATAAAAGCCTTTAAACAAAACAGTTTATAGTTTTTTTTCACCTCTAAGGCACCATAGCCTATTAGATAAGAGCATGGGAGAAGACCATAGAGACCATACTTCATTATATTAAATTACAGACCATAGACACCATAGCCATCATAGGCCATGATCTACAAAAGACCACAGGACACCATAGCCCATGTGATCAACCCACAGGACACCATAACCCATAGGACTATACTTCAGAGACACCATAACCCATAGGACTATACTTTAGAGACACCATAACCCATAGGACTATACTGCAGAGACACCATAACCCGTACGACTATATTTCAGAGACACCATAACCCATACGACTATACTTCAGAGACACCATAACCAATAGGACTATACTTCAGAGACACCATATCCCATATGACGAAGACCAGTGGGCCTGACGCCAGATGTAAAGTGAGAGAAAGAGATTTGACCTCTTCTGGGTGTAAGAGGAGACAGCTGTGCCCTTCATCGACACCTGTAGGCCAAGAGAAGTGCTGTAATCAGACACCCTCTCTCTCTCTCTCTCTCTCTCTCTCTCTCTCTCTCTCTCTCTCTCTCTCTCTCTCTCTCTCTCTCTCTCTCTCTCTCTCCCTCTATCTCTCTCTCTCTCTCTCTCTCTCTCTCTCTCTCTCTCTCTCTCTCTCTCTCTCTCTCTCTCTCTCTCTCTCTCTCTCTCTCTCTCTCTCTCTCTCCCTTCCCTCTCTCCATCATCGTCCCCGGAGTCTGATCTCATAATTCCCTTCTTTCACCCCCTCTCACGGACGGATGCTGTCCTGGTATATGTCTCTCTCTCTCGCTGCTCTGTTACATAGCTCGCCGTCCTTTTATATATACACATCTCTCTGCCCTGTTATCTCTCTCTCTTTCCTGTTAATATTTCTCGTTGCCCTGTTATATCTTCTTCTCACTGCCCAGCTATATCTCTCTATCTCTGTCCTGTTATGTATCTCTCTATCTGTCCTTATATATATATATATATATATATATATATATATATATATATATATATATATATATATATATATATATATATACATACACATATATACATATATATATCCACACCCTCTTATCTCCGTGTTATATCTCTGTTATGGCGCCTTTCTTACGGTCTGGAGTTTTTCACAAGAGCGTCGTTGTCGGAATGTCAACATGCTCTCGCGGACGTTCTCTCTCGTGGCTTTGAAGCGGCATTTGCATTCCATGTGACTATCGAGCAAATATTCCTTGCTTGACGCCAGATACTTGATGACACATTGCTTATTTGCTCCATTGCTTGTAGTCTGTTGTATTGTCATTTTATACATCACCGTCTTGGCAGAAAATCAATATTGTTGGTTGTTCTTGTTGTTGTTTTTTTGTTTACTCATGATGGGTAAAATTCCACGTATTTTTTTTCTCTCTTGTCTCTTTACACAATAATGTTTCTCGTTTTGAAGTTGCGTTGGCATGCAGGCTTTATCCTCTTGCAAGCGAACAAAACTTTGCAAAAGTCTCTTCGAATGCTTTCAAGAGAGAGAAGCAAGAACATGACATACCCGTTTGTAACCGTCGAGTGAAGAAGAAGAAGAAGAAGAAGAAGAAGAAGAAGAAGAAGAAGAAGAAGAAGGAGAAGAAGAAGAAGAAGAAGAAGAAGAAGGAGGAGGAGGAGGAGGAAAAATGAAAGAAAGGGGAAAAAGGGAAAAGGAAGAAGGTCAAGAAAACGGAGGAGAAAAAGAAATAAATGAAAGAGAAAAGGAAGTCCAAGAAGAAAAAGAAGAAGAAAAAAAAAAAGATATAAAGGAAAAAGAGAAGGAAGAAGCTAAAGATGAAGAAGAAAGAAAGCAAAACGTAGAAGAAAGAAAGGAAAAAAAGAAGAAGAAGAGAAAGACAAGAAGGAAAAAGAAAGGAAAAACAAATCTCAAGGAAAAGAAAGAAAAAAGAAAAGACAGGAAAAATGAAAAAAAGAAAAGACAAGAAAAAGAGAAAAAGAAAAGACACTTACGGAAGAGGATGAGGAGAGGAATGGAGAAGGAGAAGATAATGGTTCTCCAAGAGACTCCTCTGGTCGCTTCATATTCACACAATCAAAACAAATTTCCTCTTAAGCTCCTGATCGGCCGCCACACCTGATCTCCCTCCCGCGCCCGCTCCCTCTTTTTAACTCTCCTTCTCAATCTATTTATTTGTGAAGACTCGGCCATCTGGAAGATGTTTGTATTTCTTTACCGTGACCCTGCGATCTCTGACCTGACCTTGGCCAGCGTTTCCCCTCGTGGCTGCCGGTTATAGTCGAGGGGAGTGAGAGGGAAGGGTGTTTGTGCATCGGTTATGGTGTAGAGTAACAGGTCATTATCTCCAGCTTAGTTCTTCTCGACCGCCGCAAGAGGGCAGCGGCGTCGCGTGAATGGCGGCTATTGTGCTTAACCGCGGCTTTTATTGCGGCGCTGGATGTTTGCATTTTTCCTCTTTTTTTAGTTTTCTTTTACTTTTTTTTTTTCTTTAGAGCGATGAAGACGAGCTGTTTCACTATCTCGAACGGGCGGAAGGCACTCCTAGAGGGCGCTAACGACGCAACGGTCCCACAGTGCGTTTTGTAATTAAGGTTTCTGTTTAAAGGAGGGGTTGAGTGATGGGGGTGGGGGTGGGGGGAGGAGAGGGAGGGAGGGGTGGGGGTGATCCCACCGCGGGGATGAAGAAACTCATTCTCTCTTTCTCTTTCTCTCTCTCTCTCTCTCTCTCTCTCTCTCTCTCTCTCTCTCTCTCTCTCTCTCTCTCTCCCTCTCTCCCTCTTTCTCTCCCTCTTCCCCCCCTCTCTCTTTCTTTCTCACTCTCTCTCCCCTCTATCCCTCTTTCTCTCCCTCCTCCCCCTCTCTCTCTCTTTCTCACTCTCTCCTCTCTCCCTCTCCCCCCCCCTTTCTCTCTCTCTTTCCCTGATTAAAGAAACTGTCCCTCCTTAAGTGTACAAATAAAAACATCTCCCATAACCATTAATCAAATAGACTCTTCCTGACTAACCATCAACCTCTTGAACCGCCTTTGATAAATCATACAAAAAAATCTTAAAAAAAACAAACTAAATAAAAGCGTAAAAGCAAGATAATGGAATACGCGGTCCTTGGCAACGAAGCATAATCAAAATTCAATGGAACTGAGACCCACGTCCGAGGGTTGGACGGAGGAACCGCGTCCCCCTGAGATGTGTCGAGGGAATCCGTCAACTCAGCCACTTAAGTTGCTCGAGGGTGTACTAGATACTCGAGTAGGGGAAGGGTGAGAATAGAGAGTGCCTTGATGGATGCTGAGATGTGGCCCTCTCTCTCTCTCTTTCTCTTCTCTCTCTGTCTCTGTCTCTCTTGCTCGCTGTCTGTCTCTCTGTCTCTCTCTCTCTCTCTCTTTCTCTCTCTCTCTATCTCTCTCTCTTTTCTCTCTCTCTCTCTTCTCTTTTTAATTTTCTTTATTTTTATGTTTATTTCTTTCCGTTTCTCTCTTTTCCTTTTTCTTTCTTTTTCTTTTTATTTATTTTTCTTTTTTTCTTTACCCTTTTCTTTCGTTTTCTTTTTCTTTCTCTTTCTTTCATTTTCTTTCTCTCTCTCTTTCTTTGTGTAGGGGGGGGGGGGGTATAATCTGTGCATATTCTTTTCTTTTCTTGTCTGGTTTCTTTTTTTCTTTCTTTCTCCTCCTCTTTCACTTCCCCTTTATCTCTCTACCTCTCTCTGTGTTTTCCTTTTATTCTTTTTGCCTTTTTGGTATATTATCTTTTTCTCCGTGTTCCTCTCTATTATTCTTTCAATCTTTCCCCCTCTCATTCCCCTTCCCCTCCCCCTCTCTCTCTGTTTTTTTTTTCTTTACTTTTTTATTATAATTCTGGGTATAATCTTTTGTATTCCTCGTCTGTTTTATGTTTTTTTTATCATCCTCTCCCTCATCCGCCTCCCCCCCCCCCCTCTCTCTCTCTCTCTCTCTCTCTCTCTCTCTCTCCCTCTCTCTCTCTCTCTCCTCTCTTCTCTCTCTCTCTCTTCTCTCTCTTCTCTCTCTCTCTCTCTCTCTCTCTCTCTCTCTCTCTCTCTCTCTCTCTCTCTCTCTCTCTCTCTCTATCTCTCTCTCTCTCTCTCTCTCTCTCTCTTCTCAACCCCCC